GATATATATATATATATATATATATATATATATATATATATATATATATATATATATATATATATATATATACCGATCTCGATCGATGACGAGATGACTTAGCTGGGCTCTTCAAAATACAAAATAGCGCTATGCTGGTTCAGATGAGATGAGATGAGACGAGACGAGCCTGGAGCTGGTGAAAATGGTGAGGGTAGACGTCCAACACAAACGAAAAATGGCTCCAGACTTGCTTTAGACCGCATCCCGGCAGTTTTGTCGCAATATTTTGATGTCTAAATCCCTAAGACTGGGTATTACTGCCGGGCTGGTGCATATACAAATGCGATAATACGTTGCGAACAAAGCCACATATTTAGCCATTATACACTGAGATGCATTAAAGAATCACTACCTCTCAGTTTTTTTTGCCAAAAAAAATAAATAAACATTTCACTATTAATATTTAAAAGGGTGTGAATGGTGAGAAAAAAATAATAAAGATATGAGCGTATGCGTCGTTAACAATTTCTATATTTCACTTCTTCTTTCACACAAGTACAATGAAATAGTATCGTAAACACTGCCATTGCCTTGAATGCGTGGATTTTAAATACTTTTTCAAACTAAAAAAAAATGTTAAAACTTTAGGTTAGTAGGAAAATTTCATTTAATTTCCTTGAAAACACCTGATTTACGTTAAATAATGTCAGTTTTTAGAAATTAGTATTTATATTTTTTTCACCACTCTCTGTTACCTTCTACAATTTTCTATATTAGATATAGTGTATTATTAGACACTATTAGATAGTGTACCTTCTGCCTGTTAAGTCAGATGTAAAGTTTTATGTAAAGTTTCGTTTTATGCTAAGAATAATGTAAATTATAATATGTTTTCCGAAATTTCTATTTTATTAAAACTAAAAGATTTTGTGTGTGATAAATAGTTTACATTTTAAGCATCTGTTGCTTTTTGATCTTATTTCTTAGTACTTTGTTGTTAATTAATTTACTTAATGCAGTATTGTTCAATTTAATATTTATTTTGTCTGGTTCTACTTATTATTAGACGATCTTTACCATGATTTATTAAAATTATGAATTTTTGAGGGCCTGGTTAAATGTTATTGAAATTAGAACTTGTTAAGTGTTCAGAATATTGCATCTTTTGAAATTAAAAATATCTCCCATTGTTCACTTACTAGAACTTAGATAGTTTCACAACATATACTCTTAATGAATTCATTTAAAAAAATAATATTATCGAGATAAAATTCATTTATCTTATCTTATAGATTATTTCTGAAAATATTTCACTTTTCCGGCTGTCAGAAGTAATGGATTTTGGGGAATGAGAAGTCAGTAGAAAGGCAATATCACGCAGAATGCGTGAATCGTAATCCTGATTCCTAATTTTATACTATGACTTAAATAAAAGTGAATGTAAAAGTTGGAGGTTTAAAACCATGTGATGGTGCCGTCTCAACGAATTGGTATGAATAAATTCATAATTTGCGAATAACTGGAAAAGTGAATGTTCCTTGGTCCAACACGTATAAGTATTTGAAAGGTTACTTAATTCCATAAAAAAATTAAAAAATCCCATCGAAATTCGACGATTTGGTGCTAAGTTATGGCATTCTGAACATTTAGTATTTGTTGTACTGTAAGATTCTGTTGCATTTTGCAATTTAAGATTTTGGGAATTTGCTTTTCTCCCCGATTATGATATGTATCGAAGCATCAATTAGCATTTTTATTTCTTAATTTCAAAATATTTTATTTTTCTAAATTTAAAATTTAATTTTTATTTGTATAAATGTTTTTTCTATTAAACTGATAGATTAGTATTTGAAATTTGGTCTTTTACCATCGTTTGATGTTCAAATCCATGGTTAGGAGCTTTTGTAAATTTATCATAATCCAGTGAAGGAAAAAGCTAATATTTAAATTATAAGTTTAGGGAAACGCAATGGTTAAACCATGGCAGAGTGTAAATCATATTTATAAAATGATAACTTATTAAATATTTGTATTAAACCTCTGAGTATCAAAAATTAATGAATAGAAGTTGTATTAAGCCCTCAATCTATTAAAATCAGATACAAATATTAGGTTTGCGTGGAGTATTCGCACGGGTCAGCTAGTTATATATATTATTTATTATTATAATTATGTGAGAAGGAGTTGGGGGAAGGTGCGGTCAAATAAATACTAAATTTTAAAAAATAGTATTTTTAATGGTTATCCCGACGTTTCGATCCATCCTGCAGGTCTTCATCAGAGCTACAAAAGATACAAAAAAATATGATAAGATTACAATATGAGTTGAATATTTTCTTAATTCCGTACAAAATAAAACAAAAATATCACAATTGGACCATATTTACCTTAGATACTGCTAATTTTTTTTGGGGAGAGAGGGAGGGGTTTCCGGGCCATTGAGTGTGGGCGGGGATTTAAAATAGATACTGCTAATTGTAATTTGTACTCATGTTATTAAACCTAATAACAAAAATGAAAGATTAGAATATATTTAAAAAAAACACAACAAATAATAAAAACTAAAGAATAGGACAAAGAATAAAACGGAAATTAAGAAACTTAAATATTAGTTCTCGATGATTATTTCTATTTTGAACTGTTTTGTTTTGACATTCATTCTTTTTTATCTAGTTTTAGCTTTATTTATCGTAAATAAAGTCATGGGATTCCATAATTTGCTTAATTAAATTAATTAACTCTCCTTACCTTTATGAGAGTATCTCAAATATACCTTTCTCCTCATATGTACTAAGTGGGGTCAGTTTAATTATTTAACTTCATTTAAGGATAAGTTATTCGAGTGGTATGGTCAACAGTCACGCAGATAATATGTTGGAGTAATGTTTGTAAGTTGGCCTAAATTTCGACCTAAGTTGTTTCGACCTAGCTCTTCAACACATTTTTTGTCCAGCAATGCCGGAAGAAGCAATAGTCCTCGGATAAACAAATTTTGTCTTAATCTAATACTTTTTTACTAACGAAAATTCTCAGAAATGAAACGTTTTCACCTTTACCAATTTGATGAGATTCTAAAACCTAATGAAAAACTGTTTGTTTTCCACTTCAATATCAAAACAATATGATAAAAAAATCTAGAAAAAAATGGATTATAAAAATATTGGGCCGTTTGACGTGATTTCCATCCCTAAATGACAAAATAACAAGGCTATATAGTCCAAACCGTCCAATATTTTTAAAGGCCACCGTTTTTCTCGACGCTGTGATCAAATTATCTTACGACTCAAGTAGAAAGCAAATAGACGTTCATTAGTTTTTAGCACCTTATTAAATCGATAATGTTTATCGACCATGAAAACATTCACGAAATTTTAGACAAATTTTAATGATTTGATTGGAAGTGGTCAGTATAATATTTAAAAGATAAGATCAATATAATAATTGAATAGCAAACGATTTTTAAAATATCGAATTTTGTACCGTAATAATTAAATTTTCCAACTTTTGAGAAAAAAAAATTACAGTTTTATCATAAAACCCTTTGGAATCGTTGAAAATAGACTAAGAATTGCTTCAAAGCCCTGAGAACAGTTTACTGAATTGATGTCCTGTCAAAAAAATCTATAATTTTTATAGGAAAAATAGTTTCAACATTATAATTTCACTTGTAATATCATTATGAATTCAGCTAAAACACCGAAGTTTTGGAGATTTTGTAATTCGCTGTTTAAAAAATTTTGTTAGTTAAAATTAATTAAACAAACTTTCGTTACAATGCATTTATGTTTTGAAATATAAATTCTTCACTTTTTGCAATGAAAACTAAGGAATATGGTATATATGCTAATTCACATCGCATAAGACAACTCAATAAATAATTGCCAATGCGAAGTAAAGAATCTGCCAAATTAAAATTTTTTCGACATTTCATCATAAAACTGAAATAAAACCACGTCAAAAAATCGGATATGGCGTATTCGATATTCTTCAATGGACAGAACCATCTTCTCAGCAGATAGAAACAGACCAAAATAATGAATCCGACACATTGAATAGTTTGCAACACTTGATAAAAAAAAAAAAAAAAAGGAAAAATTTAAATTGCAGAATCGTATTAAGTACTTAGCAATACAACATTAATCTAAAACCACATTTTTAATATATTGTTCGTTACTTCACAAAGGCCATTCGGATCCAAGACTTTGCCCTTGAACTTTGATAAATAAGAAATAAAAGATATTTATTATTTATCTCTAAATGAATGTAAGAATAAAAACACATCCTATGTGAACCCTGTTTCAGGAACGTATCGTGTCCCTTTTATCAATGTAAAAGTTCCTTATAATAGTGTATATCGTATTAAATACTTAGAATACAACATTGATCAAGAAACCACATTTTTAATACATTGTTCGTTACTTCGCAAAGGCCATTCGGATTCAAGACTTTGCCACTGTGTTCATCGTTTCTGAATTAATCGCTAGGTGCTGAATCGAAAGTAGCAAATTTTCATATGCGGTAGTTAGCATTTGTATCGATGATATATTTTTCCAGATGGGACTAATACTGAAATGAATATCGAGAAAACAAACCTAAATCAATTGTATTTTATTTAAGATTAATTAATCCTACATGCAATTTTATCCAGATTCTTGAAATAGACTGATATTTATGATATTATTATTTCCTTTTTTAATGCATTTACTTCTATTTTTTATAACAGTTACTAGAACTTTGATAAATAAGAGATAAAAAATATTTATTATTTATGTTTATTTGAATGTAAGAATAAAAAGCACATCCTATGTGAACACTGTTTCAGGAACGTATCATATCCATTTTATCAATGTAAAAGTTCTTTATAAACAATAAAATATGACTTAAGCACTTAAATACAAATATTACTGGTAAGTTACAAGATGCAACTTATAACCACATAGTGCATAAATCGTAATCAGGTTAATTTTATTCAGCTCTGCTGACAAGTAATTTAATTTAATGTTTATTTTCTATGTTAGTATATTTCTGGACGAAGCTGATCATTCCTCAACTTATGGAAGAGAAAGTAGATCAGAAGATAGAAGAATATAAAATACCGATAACTGTAAACGTGTCCAACGACCCAGTGAGGCAGTACCACATGGCAAGGGCCAAAGTTCTCCAGAGGTCGGACCTCCCCTGGATCAGGGTCCAGAACAACATCCCACACCTCAACATACCGCTCTTCGACACGCTGAGGGAGAACTGCAAGACAGTCGGAAATAAGAGATCTCCAGATGAGATCATGTTTTCGAAATAGAATGTTATTATATTATTATTCAACAACAGTCCAAAATAAATCAAAAGTTAATAATAATGTTTCGATAATTTTTGTATTTGAATATTAAATTATTTCAATAAAAATACTATTTAATATCTTCAAGAAACCGAAGCAATAGCATATAATACGGCAATATTTGATACATATAAATGAGTGCTTAAATAATTTACCTATCTATATTTTGTAAATAATTTTTGTTCGGGGTCAATTGTAGATAACCTGTTCGGGGGCAAATGTAAATATTCTTCCGCTTTGTCGAGGGACTAAGTTATTTACACTCGTGAATTTAATTTTCTTAAAAACAAAACCCCGGCACAAGATAAAAGACTTTTTGAGGGTGTTGACTGTTATAGGGAATTCGGGTACCTAATTCTTTTGTGACACTGAGTGACAAGAAATAATAAGAAAATATATATATATATATATATATATATATATATATATATATATATATATATATATATATATATATATATATATATATATATATGAAATGTATATACTGAGTAAACACACTTTGAATGAATTGACTCACCTGGTCTCTTATTTTTCAATTGTGAGGCATATAGGACGACTAAATAAAAGGACTATTCACCCCAGGATAAGAAAAATAATTTATGTTCACAAATGTAATAAATTGCATCTATTAAAGTTTTATAACTGTAGGCTTGATATTATTAATCTTCAGTGAAGTAGTCTTCTCCTCTGCCGCACGTTGTCCTTCATGCCTCCTCAAATACCTTCTTTTCTATCCGGCGTCCTTCTCCAGCTGCTCCTACCTGCCGGGCCTTTTCCAATCTTCTTCCTTCTTCGTTGGTTGTTTGTCGATATGAGTCTTTTCAATGAATAATTTGTCCTCTGCACGATTGAGTACAATTCATAGTGCAACCTCACATTCCTATATATTCCCTCACTCAATGTCACATAAAGGAGTAAATACTGGAGACTATCTACTACAATTTCCACCCGTGCAAAGATATAACAACCAAACTTTCATCCATACGGTCAAAATAAGACAGCAGCAGAAGGAATAAGCAAGATATTAGTTTTCTTGCTTCTCTTTCTTCGAATGTTTGTGGTCTCAGTCCTTTGGTCTTGCATGTGGTAATCTTGTTTTTCTTTTTATTACTCGAGTTTGTAGTGGGTTGGCTTTTTTTCCAAACGTATACGACTTCGATTTTAATCAGCGATACGTTATTTTTACTCCGGGTGCCTAGAAAGAGGTATCATTCAAACAGCTTCAAAAAGTATCAAACCAGGGAATAAGGGATAAATATAGAAAACACCACAGCAAATATAATTGTACGGGGTTTGTCAGGTTAAGTGTCCTAACTGAAAGTATAGATTAAGTATTTCGAAACAAGATTAAAAATTACTATGAATGCATGTTCGTTTACTCTTTGTTTAGGAGATGTTTACGTATAAATACTTTACTTTAATACTTATATATACTTTAATTTTTATGAATTATTTGGTTATAATAAATAAATTAATCTCTGTTCCATTTTCTTTATTAATAAAATGTGAACATCAACATTTATATTAAATAATAATATAATTAATCAATTAGTTTGAGGATTAAGGCTCAGCCTCATTCTTCCACAACAGCATTGGCCCATTACGCAGAATATCTGTTATTTTTTCAAAAGTTTCAACTGCCTTTGTTCGTAGAGAACTAAAGTCATTGACCATGCATGCATAGATTTTTTTTTATGTCACCCGAAACAAAACAAGTCAATACAGTCAGATTACTTTACGCGGTTTATTTAATGCTTGCGCTGAATACTCATCCTTATGCCTTGCATTTATATAAATGAAGAATATGTCGATCTGTTAGTATCTGATTGTTTTGTTTGGGGTGTCAGACTAAGCAAACTCGGTTACCAGATCTCAATTCTCAACCGGATACTTGAAACTTGCAAAACAATAACACGTATCCATACTTAATGCTCAAGATAATCAACTTGAAATAACATTTGTTGTGAATTTGGATGTTCACATTTCATTTACGACGATTAATTTATTTATTATAACTTAGAGAACTCATATCAATAAAAATCTTTTGACGTGAATACCTCATAAGCAAAGCGTTAATAAACATACCTTCTTAGGATTTTTTTGGTTTTTGTTTTGAGATCATTAATACATACATTCACTTAGAACAGTTAAGCCTCAAAAACTCTGTTTCTGATTTACGATTTTTTAAAATACCACTTTCGCTTGCATTGTTGCATGAAGAGGAAAGCAATGAAATATTTTGAGAGGGGGATGATGTTCATATTCCATCGACCTTGGAGGAGACGGGGGACGGATGGACACCCCACTCATTGCTTATCCATTGTAGAAACTTCTTCATGGAGGAGGTTTGTATTCCTGCAGATTTCATCGCTTCTTGGCCCTGAATGCCTCAAACGCGATGGAATATTATAAAGTGCATAGCGTGAAACATTATGTTCTTTTAATACTCACCTTCGAAATATTCGAGACATTGAAGAATCATGTTCTTGCTAATAATCTATAGTTTGGATTGAAGAGAACATTCTCTTGAGACAATTTATTATAATGAAAAACAAATTATAAGTAGCATGAAACATAAATAAATACTTTTTTTTTTCATTTTAGAGGAAAAAATCATTTTTAATGTAAAATGGAATGAGGATGGAAACGTTTCCAAATTCAAAAGTGGTACTTTGAGTATTTGGATGTATTCTTCGATTTTATACCAAACAGCTTAAGGTATATACCTCCAGGTCTTAACTCAAGTTGAATTACAATGTATTAAAAGCATATAAGGCATCAGGTTTGGAGCAGATTTGAATCTTAAGCACAAATTCACTTAGACAAGAGAGAGTAGATCATTTAAGAAACTATGTGAAAAACTATGACTAGATCTAATTGGTTTATACAAGGCAGATATTGAGGTCATGAGAAAGTAGTGCTGATATATAGTCAGGTGATTAAGGACATGCGGTCTCCACGTATAGTATAAACATCATTAATTTATCTGCTTTAAGTATAGCATTTAGGATTCGTATTTGTCCCATGTCTTGTTTATTCCAGCATATACATCAGAAAATAAACTTGAACGATATTACATGACTAGCACATGAATAACTAGAGAATTAACCATGTGATAAGTAACTGAAAGTTTGACGGTTTTGAGCATTAGACAAGACATCCTTACGTCCAAAAATCTTTGGATCAGATGGCTAACATGAAGCGTTTGGCTGCGGCAGATTTTTAAATTGTGAAATGAACGCGAAATTCGGCAGGGCGCAAAAAAAAACTGATTAAAATAGTCTTAGACTATTTCTTAGGTAATCAATTTAAGGAAACGAGCTAACATTCGATCAAAAGCTTTTAAAATTATAGGAATTAAAAAAGACTAAAATGTGGCAAAAATTAAGAGATAAAGAGTAATAAATTTTAAAATACCTTTCAACCTTTCAAGCAAGTTAATCGATTATCTGCAAGATATTGGGTAATCTAAATACAAATTTAGAAAATATCGTACGTAATACATGATAAGCTGCATACAAAAAGCGAACGGATACATAAATATATTATAACAACGCCCAAATTGCATTTTTACACAAGAACAATAAACAGTACATCTTCAATTATAATCCAAATACAGGAATTGTAGAATAAAATATAAACTATATAAAAGTTATGGATTTAATTTATTTATTTCATCTATTTCTACTATTCCCATTTTTATTCCTACTTGTATTTGAATAATTAAATTTTCTTGTAAAGCACAATTTTTCGGTATCTTTTTTTTTTCTTATAAATTTCTTCATCGTGAAGTTTTCCTTAAATAAACTGACTGATATCATGGTAAGTTCTCCCATCTCTGCCGATCCATCGCTTCATCGTCCAACTGTTTCTAACCAGCCATACTCTCCACGACTCTATCCATCCACCTTCGTCCGATGTAAAAATATCGTCTTATTTGTGATTGTATTTCTTTCTTTCTTGTCGTATTCTCGAGTTCTCTCTTAAACTTGGCGCTAGTAGGTGCCCACAATTTTTTAAAATTCATTATCCTAACTTAAATAAAAAAAAAAAAGTTGAAGAGATTAAAAGATTTTTGTTGGCCAATTCATTAATATTTGGGGAAAAAAAACACCAACAGAGGGAGAATCACTTTATTATCATAAAAGGGTGTTGCCAAATTACATTGGGTTGCTTTAAACACAGCATACTTACTAATCGCTACAGACAATTTTCCAAAATTAATATACAATTATATAGTATTAACAATATGTATGAGCATAGCATACAATTATTTTTATTATATATATATTTTTCTTTATTTTTATTATATATATATATATATATATATATATATATATATATATATATATATATATATATATTTATATTTTATTTTATTTTATTTTTTATTTTTGACTATTAGAGTGCTACCAATGGGTAGTTTCTCAACATGTGATTTCATGCTATTTTATTCCTTTGTTCACATTTACTGAATGTATTTTTACTTGTAATACAGTTGTAAATATCACCAATAAAAAAAAATAAAATAAAATAAAAAACTTTTTTTTTACTACTTCTTACATTCATTTATTAGCATTATATATCCCTTTCTCTTCCTTCTCTCCCCTTACACATTTTTCTCATTCCCTTGATTCTCTCCTCTTTCTTCCCAACCTAATTTATAAAATGCATACAAATAAAAAAGATGAACTTGGGAGATTTTCCACGGTAAATCAAATCTTTCTTTTTTTTTTATTATTTCTTAATGATATTTACAACTGTATTAAATAAATACATCTAGTAAATTTGAACGCCTCGGAGGGTTATCAGGAGAATTGAAAAGGAAGCAATGTTAGAAACGAAAGGGTTGGGATGTTTCTGAAGTTTATTATGGAAGGATAGGTATCTGGATTGGGCCAGATCTGAAACAAAAGAAACATTTAGGTCATTATGTATGGTTTTATTTCTAACAAAGTAGGGAGCATTGAGGGTTTTAGGAAGGATTTCGGATTGTAAGGATTGGATACGATTGAAAT